TTTATTCCGATAACGAGCGAGACTCTAGCCTGCCAGGTGTTAGCTCAATCGGTTAACTTTGAATGGGTTAACCGTCACGCGACATACATACGCACATACGGAATCTGGTGAATGTTATTAGTAATGATTCGGTGATAAAAAAGAACACTTGATGCACAGAAATTGAACGTTTCAATGTTTATTTAAAAATATAAATGCATTAAATAAAAATACATAAATAATAAATATAATAATAAATATAAATACATTTTAAAAATATAAATACAAAGCTTAAAGGTNGCCGTCCCCTTTTAACATTTGAATTTTTATAGTTTAACAAAGTTTATTGTTGAACATAAATTATTCAAAAATTGGCAATCATTTGAATTTGTTTGATTTACAATAAACCGGTGTCTTCATACAAGCTATAATGAACAATCTAGAATCTCAGAAGCGAAATTCATTTTTTGAAACAGACATTAATTTTAGCTTTAAAGTCTTAAAATTCGAAGAATTTCCGAATCTCCTGGAAAAATTTCCTTTTTTTTCAGAAAAATTACTGTTTCAAAAAATGGATTTTATTTTTCTTATGAGATTCTAGATGTTCTAACCATTTTCAAATGATTTCCAGTTTGAATGTTTTTAACAACTGCTTTGAAAGTGAACAATTGCGCTCTAGCGAGCTTTAAAGGAGGCCAGACACGAACATTTTCAAAATTCTAGTTTTGTGATATTTGACACAATACAGTCAGGAAATAACCACGGCCACCAAACCATAACTCCCGGTTACTGTACAAGCGAGAACGCGACCGTTCTTCCACGCGGCGGCTAAAGCGGCGCTCACTCCTCGTTTCATAATAGGTTTATTACTCTTGTCCGAAATCAATGCACTTTGCGGCCGAGAAAACAACGGTGGGCGGAGCTTAGCTTTCCACAGAGAGAACCTTACTGTATTTTTCAAATTATTGCACGCGCCTTTAATACAGTACCTCAACATTTATCGAATTTTTTCAAATTTCTCTAACTTTTTCGCTTGTTTCTGTCTAATTTTGTGTAATTCTTATAAATCTTTAATTTATTTTTCTTATAAAATAGAAAAAAAACAGCCGAATAGGGCCCAATATAAAAAAAACGTCCGAGTTACGGTATTTAAAGGCGCTTGCATCAATTGTTTTTTCGCTGTGCGACCGACGATTTGATTTTGAATAAATTTTCGGCCGCAACGTTCATTGATTTCGGACGAGAGTAATAGCGGCAGAAGCCGACAAGCGCTGTGTGGTGTAAAGGTGAGCGCGCTTGTCTGTCAGTCGCGCATCGCGGGTTCGACTCCCATATGTCCATTTTCGTTTTTTTTTCCTGATTTCATGCGGCGTCATAGAATGACCGAATAACTAAAAAAAGTAGGGAATAATTGCCTAACATTGAAGAAATTTAGTGCATACAAAAAATAAATGCTCGTCAAGTAGCGCTCATTGGGTCGCAATCGCACGATTTTCCATCAAAATACATGATCTCGCCCCGAGAAAACCCCGTAGACTTTCGTGTCTGGCCTCCTTTAAAGGTGGAGGGACAGGAGATTTTTTGTAGTTTTTTTGTAGCTAGAGTATGCATTCTACCGTGACGGTGTACAACGCTTAATGTCACTCTGCGTACAGCTGTCGCCATCGCCTTTATGTATGCAATCGGGCGTGCGCTTTCTCTTTGCCCGCGTGGCTCAGTCGGTAGCTGCGCCGCACCCTCAATCATCGCCCTCACAAGTTCAACTCCTCGAGGGGCATCTTTGAACGGAATTTCGAGAAAATTATTTTTTTTCATGTCCCCCCACCTTTAAAGTACAGTAGCGGTCAGTTGATTATTGATCGGTACTGTATTTTTAAACTCACCCATCAATATTTGCAAAACTTCCCAAATACCAGTCCACTGTACGGTGTGGATGTCCCTCATGAGGGCTGCAGGTGTGGATGATTCTCAGAAGGAGCTCGAAATTTCCCTGCAAAACAATTTGGGACCCGTTTGGGTGAAAATTTTATATACTTCCCTTTTTATAATGAGAATTATGGCAATGTTAAATAAATTATTTCTGAATTTCGAATGTACACTGAAACGGGGAAGTCTGTTTTTGTGATCCAGTGTTTTTCAATTTGCCTGAAAATTTCAGAGATTACTAACCAAGGATGAAGCTTCAACTTTGTAGTTGACAATTTCTTTCTAGCTACTGTAGTTTTCGAGACATGCGCCTTTAAAATAGGTGGCGCAAGTAGATCTTCATTCTTTAAAAGCGTATACCTCAAAAACTACGGTAGCTAGAAAAAAAGTTGCCAACTACAAAAATGGAGCTCTATTTCTTATTAGTAATTTCCGAAATTTTCAGACAAATTAAAATTGAAAAAATAAAAATTCAGGAGTACTTCTTCAGGGCTCTACAAATGTTTTTTTCCACAAAAATTTGGGTAAAATTAATAAAAATTGCATAATTAATGTCTAAAATTTTGCAAAACCTACATCATCGGTAAGAATATTGAACGGCCATTGTCCGTCGTCATAATCCTCTCCTTCAACAACGTATTTTCCCAGTTTGTATGACTTTTGGACGTATGTAGTATCGAGAAGATCATGAGCACTGAAAATTTTTTTGATTTTGGAAAATTCAAACTATAGGATATTTTTCAGACATCTCCAGACATGTTGAATTCCAATTTCGTGTTTTAAAACTACATTGGTTTATTGAACGATATAGAATGATACAATAGAGGGGCTTTTATATTGGTTACATGATAAAGAATTTAATAAAAGAAAGTGATTGCGGGGGATGCAATGCACATTCCCCGGTGAATCACCATCAGAAGAGTGCGCATTAGCACACTCCCGGCTTTAGAGAAAAGAAGACACAACGAAATTTAAAAGCGTTCGAAGGTGTGACACGCGAGCGTTCGAAGGTGTGACATCTACGGGGTCCATGATTCTACTGGATACGTCTCGTAATGTCGTTAACGTCTCGTCTTTGTGATCTAACACCTCGGTGGTCTAGCATGAAAGATCAAAATCTCTCGTTGGAGAGAGGCTCCGTGCGGGAAAAGCGTCCTCGTCGGTCCACTTTTGATTGGAGCAAGAAGTTAAGTTCTTCTTCGTTGTTGCTTATCATAAAAATAAGACTTACGGTTTGAACAATCCATATTGTTCGGAGGTGAGCTGCAAGCTCGGGTGCAGCTGATATCTGACGTGCTACGACCGCTGTCTTATAGCTTTCTTGTCCTCGTTCAGATGCGTCAAATGTGATCGTCCTCACCAAGTACCGACCACTTTGTTCGAATGATTTAGACCCGCTTATCCTGTGTCCACCAGCTCCCCAAGTCTCAAGTATGCCAATGACTTTGTTGACTATATCAGGAGCTGCCAATCATTGAACGATATAGAATGATACAATAGAGGGGCTTTTATATTGGTTACATGATAAAGAATTTAATAAAAGGACGTGATTGCGGGGGATGCAATGCACATTCCCCGGTGAATCACCATCAGAAGAGTGCGATTTAGCACATTTCGAAATGTTTTCAAAAATTGAGATTTCCTAAAATTTCAGAAATGCCAAAATAATTTTTTTTCGGTATAGAATGTTGAGATTCGAAAAACTAAGAATTTCCAGAATCCTAGAATTCAGAAATTCAGAAATTCAGAAGTTTAGAAAAAGTAAGAATTTCAAGAATCCTAAAATTCAGAAGTTCATCCGAATGACAAGGTAATAAAATTCAAAAGTTGCTGAAGTTTTCGGATTTTTGAAATAAAATTTTAGATTTCTCAACAAAAAACCAGTTTTCTCAAATTTCCTCTCATTTTTGTTAAAAAACGCTGGACATCTGGACAAACAGACCTCAATTTTCCCATTTTCCCGAAATGCCAATTTTTGCTTTTTTGAGCTCAATTATCTCAATTCCTGCGAATTATATTGAAAATGTGTTAACTGATAAAATGTTGTCAATATTATGATGAACATTTTATCAGTTGACATTTTTTTGATATCTCTTACAGTAACAGAGATAATTGAGCTCAAAGATGAAAGTTAAGGGGCTCTTTTACACGTTTTACGTTAGGTTCTTTTTGAGCTTATTTATCTCAATTCCTATAAAAGATATTAAAAAGCTGTAAACCAAGGCTGTGCAAAATGGCGGCTAGCCGAGGCCGGCCGCGGCTATTCTTATAAAAACGCGTGAATTAAAAATCATTTAGTTTTTGAAGAATTTATTTTTTTTGTCCTATTTTTGAAAAAAAATCTACGTTTTTGATGAAACAATTATTTTAACAGGCCGTGAAAAGCCGCACGGCCGGCCTCGGCTACCCGCGGCTTCTTCAAATATTTTTTCTGAAGCCGCGGCCGGCTCGGCCGTAGTGAAAGCCGGCGATGGCTTCCGATTAGTTTATATTTCTAACGACTTTTCTCGTTCAGAAAATATATTTTTTTAATCCAAAAAAGTTCACACTCACTCAAACGGATCCCATTCGAATAGAATCACTTGATAGCGAAATTCCTTATCATAGGCGCAGTACAATTCTCCACCGATATGGAAATTGGTTTTCGATTCCACAGAGGAAACCGAAAAGAGGAGAAATAGAAAGAATCTCAGGCTCATCTTGGAGAATGATACAAAATGAAGGAGATTTTGAAGGTTTTATAGGAACAGTGATAATGGAATTTGAAAGGAAAAAAAAGGAATACGATCGTAAACATTCGGAAAACAGTTGGCAGGGGGAGCTCGGTGGGCGGAGTTTACAATAAAAATGTATCTAAACTTTGAGCTCAATTATCTCGCTTACTGTAAGAGATATCAAAAATTAGACAACTGATAAAATGTTGGTGATATTATGATAAACATTTTATCAGTTGACAAATTTTTGATATCTTTTACAGTAACCGAGATAGATAATAAAGTTCAAAGTGCTTACTTACTGTTTCAATTAATCTCCTAATAAACCCATTTATTAGGAACTAACCAGTTTTTCATATTTAAAAAATTTAAGTAAAGTCTGGAACATCATGCTCCAAATTTCTCAACTCGATTCTTGTTTTTATCTAAAGGTTTTGAATGTTTGAAAAATCCTAAAAATTGGGAGAAAATGTCTAAAACTTTTCATTCATTTTCTGAAAAATCGAAATTCCTTGTTTCAATTCGTTTTCCACTTCTTAGTATTAATTCAAATAGATTCAACTTGTCCTGAGCATCAAAATGAGCCTAAAAACGCCTAGGCTCCGTCCATTTTGAAATTCTACATGCGATCGCGACGCACGACCGCGACGCGCGCCGGAAAAATTAAATTGGTCGGAATCTAGTCGAGTTTGGGCTCATTTTGAAGGAAAACGTCTCAAAAATGCAATTATCGTGTCCTTTTTTCTTTAAATCATTAATTTTTCATAAAAATTTGAAGAAAAAATGTTACTGTTTCAAAATCTGTTCATAATTTTTAAAAAAATTGATTTCTTTTCAATAGTGTTGTGAGCATTTCGAAATTTCAATAATTTTTCCCAAAATATTTTTCATCGTGGAAATTTTCGAAAATCCAAATTTCCCGCCATTTCCTTCAAAAATGTCGACAACACTGAACGAGCTCTCCGACGCCTACATCGACGACGTCATCGCCAAATTAAAAACCGAAATTCAGGTCTGTCCGTGTATCCAAATATCCAGATGCCCCCCGAATTAATTTCAGATGAAACCGCTCGTCGCTCGCTCTCCACCAACCCAAAAATCGGCTGAAAAATCCGAAAAACCGCTGGAAAATGGAAATCTGGGAAAAATCGATAATCTTCCATGGAAAATTGAACTTGGATTTTTCTGAAAAAAAAATCGATAATTTATCGAATTTTTTGTGTCAAATAAAGCTTTTTCTTCCAGTGGAAATTTGATTTATTAAATATTTAGCAACGCAGTTTCTGCAAAAAAAAAGAGCACAAAAAACCGAAAAAGACAATGAAAGAGCCAAGTAAAAAATATGGAAAAAAATAAAATTAATTGTGATGTGTAAAAAAGTTTGGTCAGTGAAAGTTTTGGGGAAAAAATCGATAATCGATTTTTCTCGGGGGCTAAAAGCAAATGGAGAAAAAAATGAGCAAATATCAGAAGAAAATGGAATTTTTCAAAAATTTTAATCGGATATTTGGATACCTTAGGGGGGTAATTAATGGCTAATTATCGACGCCTAGCGTCTACAAGAAAACTGACAATTTTCAATTTTTAGGGGAAAAACTGAAAATTTTAAGACAAAGATGGAGAAAAAGAGACAACAAATAAGAAATTCCTAGTATTTTGAAATGAGCTAGAAATTGAGAAAAATGATGGAAAACTGGGAAAATTAAAAAATATCGATTTTGTCAAAAATCGATAATTTTTTCTGATTTTTTAGCTGAAAATCGCCAAAAAATCAATAATTGACAGGTACGAAAAATCGATAAATTATCGATTTCTTCGGATTTGACCTGAAAAAATCGATTTTTTTGGAAAATTGTAAAAATTTCGAAATTTGCCTAAAACTGAAAAATCGATAAATTATCGAGTTTTTAAACTTTTTCCGGTCAAAAATTGGGAAATTCTCAAAAAAAAATTTTCAAAAAAAAATCGATAATTTGATTTTTCAGGTCGTTTATATCAGGAAAAAAAAGGATTTCATCTGAAAAATCGATAATTTTTTCTGAAAATTTTCTCGTAAAATTCAAAAATTTCCGCAATTTTTTCATCACATTTTTTCTAAAAATCAATAAAATCAATAAAAAAGACAAGGGGAATGTATTATCAACAATCAGTGCTCGCCGGATCGACTTGCATCACCGCCGGCGCCGATTCACCGTCCTTCGGCGGAATCCTCCTCTTGTTTCCAGACGACGTGCCGCCAGAAGACGTGGCTCCAGCAATTGACGTCGATGGGACACAATTCGAGTATCGTTCCGCTGATGACTCTTTTCGTTTATCACCCGAGACTCCGCCCATTATACCTCCGCCTGTTGTTCCAGAAGCTCCCGATTTGTATTCTTTGGCGACACGCTTCTTGCGAGCTTGCGCACGACGAGCACGCTGGTTTTGTGCGCGTAGTTCGGTGATTGCGGACTGCAAATCGTTTTTGATTAGGCGCGAAATTTGAAATTTTCAAAAAAAAATTTTTTCCGATTTTTTTAAAATACTTATTTTTTTCAATTTTTTGACCTAGAAAACCAAAAAATTAGGTCAAGGCCTAGAAAATCCAAAAATTAGGTCATGGCCTAGAAAATCCAAAAATTAGGTCATGGCCTAGAAAATCCGGAAAATTAGGTCATGACCTAGAAAATCCAAAAATCTAGGTCATGACCTAGAAAATCCAAAAATTAGGTCATGGCCTAGAAAATCCAAAAATTAGGCCATGGCCTAGAAAATCCGGAAAATTAGGTCATGGCCTAGAAAATTCAATAATTAGGTCATGACCTAGAAAATCAAGAAAATCTAGGTCATTTGAAAAATCGATTTTACACACTTTCTAGTGTAGTTTTTGATGGGAAAATCAATTTTTTTCAGTTCGTAAAGCCAAAATTGACCAAAAAATCAAAATTTTTAAAAAACAATTTTTGGTAATTTTTTTGAAAATGGCCTAGAATTCCCAAAAATTCGGCCATTTGGAAAATTGACATTTCTAGGTCAGTTTTCGACGAAAAAATCGATTTTAAGCATGAAAATCGCACCTGTAATCGCTTGACATGTCCAATTTTGACAATTCCAATGTCCATAATATCGGATCGCTCCAAATGCATCAGTTCGGATCCCTGGATATCATTCTTGCGGAACGTCGTCTGATATTCTGATAAGCCTATCGATTGAAGCCATGCGCACACTTCTTCACACGTCCAGTACGGTACTGAAAAATTTGGGTTTTGGGAAATTTTGAAAATTTTGAAAAAATTGCTATTTTTAGACATTTTTTGGAATTTCTGAATTTTCGAGTTCGGACATCCGGACACACAGGTGGACATTCAGAAACCCCATAGTAGAGTAATCGATACAAAAAATTTGCGTTAAACTTTCAAAATTTTATGAAACTGCCAAAAAAAAAATGTGATTTTTTCGGCAATTTTCTGAAAAGTCCATATGTAGATCTGTGTGTCCGGATGTCCAATAAAGTCCGAAATCGTCATTCTAGGCTATTCTAACCCAAAAATCCCAAATTTTCAGCCATTTTCAGCCCAAAACGAGTCTGAAAACTGACTATTATCATAGGCAAACGGCGACGACGATCTAGTTCCGAATCGCTTATGAAACCATGCTGTAAACCGTGATCTTTTCGGTTTTCCAGCAATTAGATCCTGTTTTCGTGCTTTTCGAATCGACGCCTCCTCTCGATCCATCTCTTGGCGAATCGAATTGATCACGTAACGCCAGTTGTCCGGTTCGTCGCCCTGCAAAGTTTTAGATTTTTTGAAAAATCTGAAATTTTGAAAAAATTGTTTTTTTTTCAATTTTCAGATCTTTGAAAATTCCAGATTTTAGGAATTTTTGAGAAATCTGAAAATTTCAAAAAAAAATTGTTTTTTTTGAAATATTTAGATTTTTGAAAAATCCAAAAAAAACCAAACTCGTGGACTAACTTTTGCAAGTTTGAATTTCTAGGCCACCACTTCGAAATGACCTAGAAGACACACCAGGGTCATGTTAGGGCATTTTAGACCATTTTGAAATCTTGGCCTAGAATACCGAATTTGCAAAAGTTAGGCCACCACTTCGAAATGACCTAGAAAACACACGAGAGTGATGTTATGGCATTTTTAGGCTATTTTGAAATGGTGGCCTAGAAAACTAAATTTTGCAAAAATTAGGCCATCATGCTTAAATGACATAGAAAACACACCAGGGTGATAAGGGCATTTTTCGATTTTAAATTCGGTTTTCTAGGTCACCACTTGTCAGACCATTTCTAGGCCATTTCGAAGTGGTGGCCTCGAAAACCGAATTTGCAAAAGTTAGGCCATCATGCAGAAATGACATAGAATTGACCTGATTGTCATCTGGTGTTTTTAGGTCATTTTGAAGTGGTGGCCTAACTTTTGCAAGTTGCGTTTTCTAGGCCACCGTGAAAAATCAGGTACTGTACTTTGCTTACATGAATCTCAAAAGTGAAATGCGGAGTGGGTCCGAGTTTCGGTTGTCCAGCCGGTGCCCGTGTTCTCTGTGGGAATCCAAAATGATCTTCGAGTAGTTCAACGACACGTTCAACAGATGCAACCGCCTCTTCTCGCTCTTCCAAATCGTCGATAAACTGAAAAAATTAAGATAATTAGGGAGCTAATTAGGGGGCGATTAGAGAGTAGTTAGGGGATAATTAGGCGACCCAAACCGTCAACTTTGAGCTAAATTATCTCGATTCCTGTGAAAGATATCAGAAGTTTGTCAACTAATAAAACGTTTATCAGAATATCAGTGACCTTTTATCAGTTGACAGTTTTTTGATATCCGCTACAGTAACCGAGATAATTGAGCTCAGAGTTGACGGTTTTGATCGGTTTCTATTAGAAATACGGTAGCTACAGTTTCGTTTAAAAAACGAATCCAAAAACTACAGTAACCCAATTGAATGTTCGTTTTTTTACAAATTTCAGCTTTTTTACAGTTTCCAAAATATACTTTACTCTTTTCTATTCACTATTTATATCAATTTCGATATCAAATCATGTTCGAATCGATTTTTCAAATTACAGTAATCCCTACAGTAACCCAGATTTCCGATGGAAAGGGATTCTAAAAGCTACAGTAATCCCAATTTAACCTTTTTTTTCGTTTTTTTTTCTTCCAAACACAGTAATCGCCTCCAAAACTCTACAGTAATCCGAAATTCAAAATTTCAGCTTTTCAGACATCCTGACAATTTTTTTTCTGAAAATCCAAATTTCGGAAGAAAAAACTTTTCTTTTGAAAATTTTCGGAATTTCCCAGAATCCAATTTTTGCTCAGTTTGAACGGAAATTTTCTAAAAATTTGAAATTTCAAAAAAAAAATTATTTTTTGGTGTTTCAAAAATTCAAATTCAATATTTTCCTCAATTTTCCAAATACAGTAATCCCTACAGTAACCCAGATCCCCTTTGACATCCATTACAAAAGCATACAGTAATCCCAATTTAACCTTTTTCCCTTTTTTCTTTCTCCAAAATACACTAATCGCCTCTCTACAGTAACCCTTGAACAATCTTTTTTTCAGAACAAATATCTATCTACAGTAATCAAATCTACAGTAATCCTCTAAAAAATATGTAGACAAAGACATCTAGACATTGGGAAATACAGACAGAAAATAGGAATTTTTCGGAAAATCATCATTTTTTTGAAATTTTAGCTTTTTTACAGTTTCAAAATGATCATTTAATCGATTTTTTTTTTCAATTTTCATATCAATTCGAATATCAATCATTACTCCTAATACAGTAATCCCTACAGTAACCCAGATTTCCGGAAACCCGGAAATCAATTTTTTTTTTGATTTTTCAGATATTTCTAGATTCCAAATTTTCATTTTTCAAAAAAAAAAAACATGTTAGAAAATCCAAAGATTCGAAAAAAAATTTTTTTTTTTAAGAATTATTTTTTCAGTCTAGACAGAAAATCCGTCAAAAAACCAAAAAAAAAAGGCAAAAAAAGGAAAAAAAAAGAGCACAAAAAATAACAGAATTATCTTCTCAAGGACATCATCCTCTCTCATTTTGAGCTCTTTTTCCCTTTTTTTCTCTTTAATAATTGCTCTTTTTTGGCTCATTTTTCCCGAAAAAAAGAATACCAAAAAATCCAATTTTTTGGGATTTTAAGAAACCAAAATTCACCAAAAATTTCCATTTTGGAAAATTGGAAAGAAGAAGTGAAAAAGGAAGAAAAAAGAGCACACAAAATTAGCATAATTTTATGTGCTCTTTTTTCAATTTTCTCCACTTTTTTTTGCATTTTTCAATGAACTCTGATCATTGCTCAGCTTTAGAAAAGACCCCAGAATGTGGAAAAAACCATTCTACAGTAATTCATAGGGAACCCTGCAGATCAAACTAGCATGGTTAATAAGAGCTACAGTATTCCAATTACTCATATAAATTAGTAATTGAATTACTGTAGTTTTTGCGTTGTCAGTTAGATCCGCAGGGGCCTTTCCAACTACAGTAATCCAAAATGAACCTGAAGATCAAACCTCTAATTACTGATAATTCCCAAGAACTACAGTAATCCAGTTACTCATTCCTATTAGTAATTGGTTTACTGTAGTTCTTGCGTTGTTAGTTAGATCAGCAGTTTCGTTCCTTAACTACAGTAATCCAAAGAAAACCTGCAGATCTTGCATAGTTAGATGCGCAGGTGGTCGTTTTTATCTTGATCTTTGTCATCTTTTCTTCTTTTTTGTCCCAAAAATTCCCAAAGGACCCCCTTCCAAGGATTTTCGGTGTTTCTCAAAGTCCAAAAATGTCCCAAAAAAAGTTAAAAAAAAAAGGAATGTGCAGGAATTCATTTCAAAATGCATTATTTCTTTCAAGTGTCTGTTTGTCCGGATGTCCTTAAAAATGCATTTCTAGTGTAATCGTGCATTTTGAAGAAAATGCGAAAAAGTTCAAAATTTCGAATTTTCCGAAAATTTCTGCCTGTTTGTCCAGATGTCCGCACTTTTTTTTGTTGAAAGTTTTGAAAATTCAAATTTTTAAATTCTTAAAAATTTCTGAAAATTTCCAAATTTCGACTGTTTTTCGTTGAGTGTTTCAATTTGCAATCATTCCGAACATCAAAAATTTTGGTTTTTTTCTTGGAAATTTTAGTTCGAAAAGTCCAAAAAATGGAATTTGTCAGTTTTTTTCGCGATTCTTTGAAAAGTAATCGAAAATCGCGTGCTGGATTCTAGTGTGTGTGTGTGTGTGTGTGTCTGTTTGTCCAAATGTCCCAACAATTTCGAATATCTTTTAATTTTTTTGCTATTTTTTAAAGGTACAGTACCAGTCAAGCCCTATGAAATAGCTGAAAATTGGCTAGGAGAAGAGATTCTATGGGACATGGATATGTGTGTAATTGGATGCTGAATTCCCTCTCCTTCTTCCAGGCTTTCTAGCCACGTGGAACACATCTGGATTTCGGTCCAAAAAAGCCAATTTTTCTTGAATTTTTTGAGACAGAAGACATCTGGACAAACGGATTGACGGATAGATAATCCCTTGAAATTGTTCTGAAAATCAGCTGAAAATTTGGACCACAAAGAATGAGAAGAAGAAAAAGAAGCACAAACCTATGAAATGGCTGAATAATTGGCTCTAAATTTCAGCCTCAAAATCATCCAAAAAATCAGCTCCAAAAATTGCTGAAAATTGAAGAATTTTGGGTTCGAAAAATATCAGAGAAGTGGACATCTGGACACACAGACAGACGGAAAGAAAGAGATACAGTACCGGTCAAAAAGATATACAACAAACGTATTTTTCAGTTTTGATTTTCGGTTATTTTGAGCATTTTCAGAAGTCTGGAGCTCAGCTGTCATCAACTTTCCGATCTGTTTGAAAGCATTGTAGGGTCTAAAACAGACCTAGATTGAAAAGGGCATTCACAGATTTTTTTTTGGCATTCACAGATTTTTTTCGAAAATTCTTATGTTTTCCGATTTCTGAAAAACACCTGCTTTTTTTCACGTTTTCGGTACAAAACTGCTCAAAAAAGGGTGTCTTTCAGAAATTGGAAAAAAAAAGGAATTTTCAAAAAATTCTGTGAATGCAAAGTTGTCAAACTAGGCCTGTTTTAGACCCTCCAAAGTTTTCAAAATGATCGGAAACTTGACAGCCGAGCTACAGACTTCTGAAAATGCTCAAAATAACCGAAAATCAAAACTGAAAAATTCGTTTTTGTATATCTTTTTGACCGGTACTGTATCTCATCCTTTCCGTCTATCTGTGTGTCAAGATGTCCACTTCTCTGATTTTTCGAACCCAAATTTCTTCAATTTTCAGCAATTTTTTTGGAGCTGATTTTTTGGATGATTTTGATGTAACTTTGATGGTTTTGAGGCTGAAATTTAGAGCCAATTATTCAGCCATTTCATAGGTTTGTGCTTCTTTTTCTTCTTCTCATTCTTTGTGGTCCAAATTTTCAGCCAATTTTTAAAGCCATTTCAAGGGTCTCTCTGTCATTCCATTTGTCCAGATGTCTTTTGTCTCAGAAAATCCAAAAAAATTGGCTTTTTTGGACCGAAATCCACGTGGCTAGAAAGCCTGGAAGAAGGAGAGGGAATTCAGCATCCAATTACACACATATCCATGTCCCATAGAATCTCTTCTTTTTCTTCTTTCTATAGACCTTATTTTTCCCGGTTTTTCCTTTTCCCATTCGTCATCTTCTTCTTCTTCTTCTTCTTCCCAATTTCGCCTCCTTCTGATCCCATTTTGGGGAAATCTTCTTGGAAAACATTTCATTTTCACACCCACTTTCTCTCCTTTCTCTTTTGGAAATGAGAGTGAGAGTGAGAGAGACGCAGAGAAAGAGAGAAACTCTGGCTCTTCTGGAAATTCTTATTCAAAAGACGTCGTCGTCCTTCTGGAGAGAGAGAGAGAGAGAAAAGTGTGAGAAGATGAAGAGCACCGAAATTATTAATTCATCGTCGGAAAGAAAGAAGAGGATGACTTCTTCTTCTTCTTCTTTTTTCTCCTGGGCGTCTTCTGGAGACATCTCCAGATGACGTGGTGGTTCTAAAACGTTCGGTTGTGAAAAACCCACTTTTTTGGAATTTTCAGAAATTCCACATTTTTCGAAATCTATCTGAATTTCAATCGATTTTTAGAGAATTTCGAAAAATACCAAAAAGTCAATTTTTGAATTTTTCAAAAAATCCAGTTTTTGAAATTTCAAAATCCTAAAAATTTCAACTAATTTTTCAAATTCCGACAATCGATCTGATTCTCCCAATCGTTATTTTCAGGAAATTTTGAAAAAATTCAAGAACTCAAATTTTTGAATTCTCCGTCCAATAGAGCGAATTTGCACTTTTTTCCATTTTCGAAAAATCGATATTCTTTGCTTCAAATGTTCAGAAAACGTTTAATTTCAAAACGTTCGCTTTTTTTTAATACTATACGTCATCTGGAGACATTTCTAGATGACGTCGTCGAATTTTTCGAAAAATCCAAAATTTCGAACTTTTTTTTCCACTGTTTCAAAGCTTCTTAATGACATCTGCGTTGGATTTCAATTCTATTCTTACAGCTGATTGTTCATGGGGTAGTGCAGTAGAGCGCTATTGCAATAGGTGCTGCGCTCAATATGCAAGTTCGCTCTACCGAACTTCTGATTCCCTATAGGGAAAATTCCAAGCAAGTATGACTTTGAACTGACTTTCAGAGCGATTTTTCGAGCAATTTCGATATTTTTGGAAAATCGATATTTTTTGAAAAAATTCCAGATTTTTCCAATTCCAATTTTTGGGACTTTCTGGAATCTAGCTTCTTCATGTTTCCAATTTTCGACCTCATTTCTCCATTTTTTTCTAATTCTTTCAAATAGAAAAAAAAGTACGTGAGAACGGGGAAAAGTCGTCTGGATGTTTCGCTTTGAGTTGTCCATGTCCATTTAGATATCTCTTCCAGGAAATCTTCTCTTAAAAAAGACTGAGAAGTGCTCGTTTCCGTTTTTCATTCATCTTCATTTTTTGAAGAAGAAGAAGAAGAAGGAAATCGAGATAAAGTACATATGATGTCACTTGGTTCCTTGTCAACTGGACATGTGGACACACAGGTAAAACTCATAGCGACAACTTTGAGTTTTTTAAAGCTCTATTTTTTCTAGAAAATTCTGGAGATTGTTGGGATGCACCATGCCTAGCGGAACGTCGATTATGAATAGTTCTGGAAATCCGGATCTCTGGACACACAGACAGATGAGTTCAAGTTCAAAGAACCATAGGTGCAAGCGGGCCGGCTGATAGCTTGTCCCTAGAACGAGATCATCAGATAGTTTTGGTACCAAATGATAGATCTCGACAGGGTTCATCACGTCTATATCATTTAAGACTGATTTCATCGCGGCAACATACCGCAACCTGGGCTTAAATGACAAGTTTCGACTAACTTGGCAAAAAGCAGCTTTGTTGTCATTCAAAAGCATTTTTCGACATGCTATCGGACCGGAATCCGGCTCGAATGATATATACGTGATGGGCCCTGTCGAGATCTATCATTTGGTACCGAACCCGTCTGACTATCTCGTTTTAGAGACAAGTTATCAACCGACCCGCTTGTAACTATGGTTCCTTGACCTTGAACCCATCTGTCTGTGTGTCCAGACGTCCGGATTTCCAGAACTATCCATAATCAACGTTTCGCTAGGCATAGTGCATCCCAATCTCTAGAATATTCTAGAAAAAAACTGAGCTTTGAAAAACTCAAACGTTCTCGCTAGGTGCTTTTTCTGTGTGTCCACATGTCCAGATGTCACTGAATCGATTGAAAAATGAATGGGTTTATTGGAGTCCAATAAGCAGTTGTTTGGCCGAAATTGAAGACTTCAGCTAGATTCATTTCTAGATCCTCTCTAGATTCTCTAGATCCTCCGGATTTCTGTGCGTCCAGATGTCCGCAGAATCTTCCGCTGCATCAAAATATTCCAAATGATATGGATCTATATTCTTGTGTGCCTATGTAGATGAGTGTAATATCAAAAGAGCAACACCACAAGCTTATTATGTATATATGAATACATATATATATATATATATATATATGGCACACAACCTTAAAGATGAGCAATTTGGAAGAAGAGCAAACTCTCCAACTCCAACAAGGATTTGTGGGTGGGTGGGTGTGTGTATATATCCATAAAGCCACGTCATCTGGAATCTCATCTGGATAGTGTTTGTGACTGTTTGACCCTAATGGGACCACCTCATTTAGAAATCCTTTTCGCTAGCGAAGAATGGAGATGTTCCAGAAAATCCTTCAAGACAAATTTGGGTCATTTCTAGCCAATTCTTCCAGGTTTTGGACCATTTTAGACCAATTTTAAGCAAATTTTTGACTGATTTAGGTCAATCGTAGCCACTTTTAGCTCATTCCTGATGACTTTTTGATCGAAATTTGGTCGTTTTCGTCCAATTTCATCTGTTTAGTACCGTTTCCAATTTTGGACCATATTGGACCAATTTTGAATCATTTTTGACCAATTTTGGACCATTTTCGACCGATTTTGGACCATTTTCGACCAATTTTGAATCATTTTTGACCGATTTTGGACCATTCATGACCGATTTTGAGCCATTTTTGAGTAATTTTAAGCCGATTTTAACTTATTTCTGGTTGTTTTTCGGCTCTTTTTAGCATCATTTAGGCCAATTTCAAGCCATTTTCAGCTTAATTTCCAGATAAAAATACGGTTGATCTTGTCCCTTTTTGATCATATTTGATCATTTTTTGATCAAATTATCACTGAATCTAGTTGATTTCTGGGCCAATTTTCTAGCTAAATTTGATTGATTTTGGTCAGTTTTCCACACAATTCTGGATATTCTGAATTGTGTGTCCTCATGTACGGATGTCCACATTTCCCCTCTCCTAGTAAAAAGGGGTACTGTACTTTGAGGACCTCGAATTGAGGCTCAAAGATCAGTAAACCATCTCCGTCTCTGTGTTTCCGAAGTGTCCAGATGTCCATTTCTTCTCGACTTGTCTATCTTTTGGATGCGATTTTCAGCCATATTTTCAGCCAAATTTTCAGCCAATTCTTATGGATATTCAGCATTTTTTCAGCGATTTTCAGCCGAATTCCGGGGCCCTCCTTTCATCTTGAAAGTGAAAAATACCTATAAATTTCCTTCTCCTTTGCTCGCCGAGCCACCGCCGCCGCCTTCCATTTAGGCTCCGCCCACTCGAAAAAACGAAAAAAAGAAGGAAAAGTTTAGAGTCCAAAACAAAAGAAAACCAAGAAAAAAGGGAGAAAAATTGAATTATATTCCATTTTTTCGTTTTTTTTTTGTGTTTTGTCAATTTTGGGTCACATGTGTGTTTTTTTTGTCATTTTTAATAAAATTAGAGCGAAAAAAGTGTTCCAGACACTAGTTTCTCTAAATTTCAGCTATTTTTCAGAAGATAGAGAATGTTCCAGAGAAAAAATGAAAAACAAATTTTTTCAGATTTTTCGGAAATGTTTTAGGCCGATTTTAGGCCATTTTCCTTTTAATTTCAAGCCGATTTTCGTTGGTCTTTCTAGTCTTTTTGGGGCCAATTTCAGCCAGTGTTTTAGACTGTTTTGAGGAGGCGAAATTTGACCTTTTTTGACCAATTTTGATCTACCGTAAAACCTGTATTAGAAGTGCCCCTGAAATTGAAGGGCCCCTCTAATTGAAGTGCCACCCAAGAGACCTCACGAAAAATAGAAGGGCCGGCACTTCTAATACAGGTTTTACGGTAATTTAGGCCATATTAGACTTAATTTAGGCCATTCTAGACCTAATTTAGGCCAAATGTAGACCATTTCAAGCGATTCTAGACCTTATTTAGGCCATTCTAGACCTAATTTAGGCAATTTTAGACCAAATTTAGGCAATTTTAGACCAAATTTAGGCCATTTTAGACCTAATTTAGGCCGATCTAGACCTAATTTAGGCTATTCTAGATCTAATTTTGGTCATTCTAGACCTAATTTAGGCCGTTTTAGATCTAATTTAGGCCATTCTAGACCTAATTTAGGCCAAATTTAGACCATTTTAAGCCATTTTAGACCTATGTTAAGCGCTTCTATGCCATTTTAAACCGATTTTTGGACATTTCAGGCCATTCCAGTCTAATAAGGGGTCATTTTAGATCGTTTTAGGCCATTTTTCATGAATCATGGACGATTTTCAGCCAATTTCAGCCACTGTTTTGATGCGAAATTTGACCTTTTTTGATCATTTTTGGCCCAATTTCAGCCATTTCCAGTAGCCGGTGTTAGGCCATTCTAGACCAATTTAGGCCATTCCAGGCTATTAAACCCCTATTTTAGACCTATTTTCATTCCTTTTAGAGCGTTTTTAGCCATTTTGGCCCAACTTTTAGGCCATTTTAAGCCATTTTCAACTCATTTTAAGTTCATTTTCCTCCATTCTCTATTTCTTCCTCTTTTCTTCTCCGAAATTCCCAATTTTCAGCGTCATTGCTCATCTTAAACATGAGCATTCGAAATCGAAAATACCGTTGGATTCGTCGTGCGCGCGTCCTTGTCGCCATCGAGCTGATCTTATCGATTTTGTTCGATTTGACAATTCTGGGATCAGTGAAACGGGAGCAACTGTTGAATTGTCTGCTGATAGTGGTGATAACACTCAATATCTTGACAGGTGCAAGGTGAGGGAAATGGGTTACTGTAGGTGTCCAATTTTTATGAGTAACTCGATAAAAATGGGTCTAAAACGATCCAAATCGGTTTAGAATGGCCCAAAAATTGCTGGATTACTGTAGCTCAAACGGGGATTACTGTAGCTCGAAAAAGACTCAAAATTATCCCGGAAATGTTTAAAAATCGTTTAAAACAGTCAAAAATGGATCAAAACGGGTAGGAAACGATCCAAAATCGGCCAAAAATGGCACATAGTTTGATGGACATCTGGACATTGGGACAAACGGACAAAACTGATTTCAACCGATTTTGGACTAATTTCGGATCACTTTTGGTCGTTTAGAGTGCTTTTTGGGTGAAAAATAGGCAAAAAAATGGTCGAAAATCAACCAAAACGGTTGAAAATGGTCATTTTTGGAACATTTCAGATTAATTAACCAATTTTGGACCATTTTTGACCTATTTTAAGCCGATTTCAACTGATTTCTGACCTTTTACGACCAATTTTGGACCATTTTTGACAGATTTTGGACCATTTTTGGCTGATTTCGGACCATTTTTGACAGATTTTGGACCATTTTTGACCAATTTTGGATCATTTTTGACAGATTTTGGACCATTTTTGACCAATTTTGGATCATTTTTGACAGATTTTGGACCATTTTTGGCTGATTTCGGACCATTTTTGACAGATTTTGGACCATTTTTGGCTGATTTCGGACCATTTTTGACTGATTTCGGACCATTTTCAGATTATTCCTAAAACTGCGCGGTGTCAAATGCGCAAGCTCCATTATGGCCTATGTGATATGGAAGGTGGTCCAGGAGGTCGTCATGGTTCCAGCTCTCGTCATTTTCAGCTTTATTTGTGTAGATGTGAGTCTTTTTCAGTCAAAAATTCAAATTTTCAGAATTTTCAAAAAATTCAAATTTTCAGAAATTTTCAGCCAAAAGTCGCAAAATCCCAAATTTGAGACTTCTAGACCAAAAAATCCGCCTAAATTCGAAATTTAGGGTCTGGAAACCCCAAAAATCAGATTTTCAGCCAAAATCCGCCATTTTTTCAGCGATATCTCAAAAGTTGGGAAAATGTGAATCGTGGCATTCAAATTTTGCTCGTCGTCTGGACATATGCATTCTATTCGTTGGCGTTGATCCTGTTTTTGGGTGAGTAGGCCTTTTAGGCCAAAAATTAGGCTTTTCAGGGCTGAAAATAGATCTTTTGGGACTTTAATTGGGCCTTTTAAAGACCGAAATTCGGCTTTTTTGGAGCCAAAATTAGGTCATTTTAGACCAAATTTAGGCCAGTCTAGGCTCATTTTAGGCCCATTTCATGCTCATTTCAGGCCGCTTCAGTCCGTTTCAGACATTTTTTAGACCACAAAATTTGGTCAATTTCGGTCTAGTTCGGGCTCATTTTGGGCCGTTTTAAGCCTATTTCAGGCAATTTTCACTCTAATTTAGGCCATTTTAGGCTACTGTCAGGCTAATAAATTTGGACCGATTTAGGCCAGAATGGTACTGTTCAAGGCCGATTTTCCATCATTTTGGGCCACATTTAGTCCATTTTCAGGCTATTCTAAGCCTATTTTGGACCACTCTGGACCGAAATTTTGAGCCAAAATTTGTCCAGATTTGGGCCATATTTAGGCTATTTTAAGCCAAATTTAGACCGTTTTAAGCTCATCTAGGGTCATTTTCAGCCAATTTTCTCGATTTTTAGCTTAAAATTCCGCATTTTCAGCCGATTTTCAGCCAAAACCCCCCTAATTTTCAGGCTGGCTCGCCAGGTCCCTCTGGCAACTCCAAACCGCCCATACCCAATCAAATGGCACTGATAAGAACGAGTCAACGACACAAATCTCGTTTATCGATGCGTTTCATTCGGAAGCCAACGATCATCAGGAGCTACTACAAACTACAATTAGACTACAAACTACAAACAACGAGTCGGTGGAGCTGATGGAAATGAGATCTGCCGGCGGGGATACTGTAGTTCCTTAGAATTTTTGAATTTCTCAATTTTCGCGGGTTTTCTTATGTATAAAAATGCTTGTAAAATGAAGATTTTGGATTACTGTAGGATTACTGTAGCTCGCTTGGAATAAAAGGATTACTGTAATTAAACTAAGTAATATAGAATGGGATTACTGTAGATCTTTTATTCAAAGGTTGTACTGTAGAAGGGTTACTGTAGTTGGTATGGATTACTGTAGCTCGTTAAAAAAACAAGTGGAGTACTGTAGTTAGGATAGGTTTACTGTATCCAGGGGTTACTGCAGATTTATTCAAAGGATACTGTAGTTCACTGAGGTACTGTAGATTGGAGGAAGGGGATTACTGTAGATGGGCTACTGTAGTTAACAGAGGTTACTGTAGATGGGGCTACTGTAATTAATCAAAATACAGTAACCCTCTGAAATTCTATAGATAATACGGTACCATAGATTTTTAATGGATTACTGTAGGTAAAATTTTGAAAACAAATTTCAGAGAGGGTTACTGTAGCTTGTGTGGGGAACTACAGCAATCCAAAAAAATGAAGAGGGATTACTGTAGGGAAGAAATTTCCAAAAATCCAAAAATTCTGAAAAAGTGGACTTTTTTTAAATTTGAAAATTTTCGAAAATTCTGAAAAATTAAAAAATTCTGAAATTTTCAAAAATCCTAAAATCTCAAAATATCGAAATTATCGATTTTTTAAATTTTAAGCTCCGCCTCCAAAATCGATTACGGTACTTTAACACTGTTCTAGGCCAATTTGGACTATTTTTTTCCGATTTTTCATATCATGGATTACTGTACTTTGTAACGGGGAACTACAGTAATCCTAAAAATGTGGTGGATTACTGTAGAGGAGTTCGGTATTCAATTTTCGAGGTTTTTAGTTCATTTTTGATCCCAATTTTCAAGCCCCGCCCACCCTCCCGAAGCTCCGCCCCTTCCAAAACCAAACTGACCTCCGGATCCTCTTCTCCACTCGCTGCTCCACCCCTTACAATTGCATTCGCATCATCCAGGGACCCCAGGAACGCCGAAGACACTCCAAGCCGAGCGATCTCCCCCTCGATGAGCCTCAAAAACTCCCTGGCTCTCGTCAAAAATGGAATCTGCTCTCCAGAAGAGCCCACCAACGCCGTCGGGGTCGATGGAGCCGTCGTCCCAATGCCAGATGACGTCGCCTTTTGCTCCTCCCACTTTTTGAGGGTCGCATCGAAGACGGGGTTTCTGGCGAGCATCTGAGCTCGATTTTTGTGCACAATTTGCATGATTCCGGGTGGCTGGAGCCACGGTTCACCGTCCACTTGAACCGGGATGGGCTCGTCGCCAAGGATTACGATACGCACGTGCCGACACTGAGCAATACGGTGGTTTTGGAGACGGTAGGCGTTTGGGACACGAGACGTCGCCACGTGGATCACACCGAAGAGGGCGACGACCTGGAAGTATTTTAGATGGGGGTACTGTAGTTTTTTTCAGGAGTACTGTATCTATCTATCTAGAGATGCAGGCAAGTTAGATGTGCAGGTAGCGCTACCAGGAGTACTGTACCAACAAAGTTAGATGTGCAGATAGGGTTCATAGGGATTACTGTACCTGCACATCTAACTTGTTATACAGCTGAATGTGTTAGATTTGCAGGTACAGTAATCCATAGCTTTTCAACATTATAAACTAGTCAGATGTGCAGATAGGGGGTACTGTACCTGCACATCTAACTATTTTAAAGCCATTTAGAAAGTTAGATGTGCAGGTAGCGCTTATAGGATTACTGTACTTTAGCAAAATTTGGAAAATCCGAAAATTCCAAAAGTTCGAAAATCCAAAAATTAGGTCATGGCCTAGAAAATCCAAGAATTAGGTCATGGCCTAGAAAATCAAAAAATTAGGTCATGGCCTAGAAAATCCAAGAATTAGGTCATGGCCTAGAAAATCCAAGAATTAGGTCATGACCTAGAAAATCCAAAAATCTAGGTTACGGTACCTGCACATCAAAAAACTAACTAATGTCATTTTTAGCACACTTTTAGAGGTATTTCAGTCAGAATTTCACCAATTTCGAAAATTCGAAAAATTCATAAAATCATAATATAGGATTACTGTACCTCCAAAATGCGGTCATCAAAACTTTGGACCGTAAACTCCGGTCCCTCCTTATTCCGGCCCCAAAAGTTGGCACCGCCCGAGTACGATGGAATATTCAAGATTACGATTCCCTGTAGACTCGGCAAATCGATGGGCACCCCGTCGCATTCCAGCTTGATCCTCTGCTCCAGATTACGGTAGGTACGGTGCATCAGTTCTTTGCCGCCCAGGATACCGTACCACATGAAGAGCTTCGAACGCGACCGCGTTTTCTCGGATTCCTCTCGTTTATTGTGGAATTCTAGGGCGATTTTCGCGTCGAGACCTATTCCAAAGTAGTTGTTCATCACACACATCTCCTTGTATTGGGTACTGTAATGTTTATCGATTTTTAGGCGATTTTAGGCCAATTTTGACGAATTTTAGCAACTTTTTAACATGATGACCTAACTTTTGTAAGTTGCGTTTTCTAGGCCACCACGTTAAAATAACCTAGAAAACGGCCCAGGTGAATATCAGGTCAATTCTAGCTCATTTTAACATGGTGGCTTAGAA